AGCCCGCGGTAACAGCTGATTTCCAAGTACGTATGAAAAGTAACCCCTGTGAGCTAACTACACAACCTTGGATTTCTCAACGTTGAATTCGATGTCACTAGCGACGGACGATCGATAAACTATGTCGAGAGTTTCCTGTGTTTTCATATTCTTCAAGATGTTGTAGCTTTCTCCATCTTTTGGCGTCGTCAGCGAATAACACTGCCCTCTTCCCCCAGGACATCTGATAGGTCGTTTATTTATGTTGGAAAAAAGTACGGAACAAGTACAGATCCTTTTGGAATTCCAAGGACAGCTCTCATTGGCCCCGAACCTATATCTTACGGCGTTGAAGAAATCGCTCAATCCAGTCAATGATCATCCCTAGTAAAGCACCATCAGCAAATTAGCAACACCTGATTCTTTTCCTTTTTACAGAACAGAAATAAGTATAAGTGGATGGTAGTAAGCTGGATCTCTTCGGGAGACACTTTGTAAATGAGTTGAATCATACCATGTTTCCTTGTCTTAGAAATCATGGTTTTGTTGTACATACTTCGGTATAAATGAGCAATTATTTCATATATATGATTCACCAGTGACTTCAGAGTATGTGGGTGGATACTGCATTCCAAGGAGAACAGTTTTTGCGCGACGACAATGGTTTGCCGTTCACCGTTTCGGATTCGAAGGTGACAGCAGTCAATCGGGGGTATGGGACACTTGGCAGAAGATATGGAAGCTGGAATCAAACACTGTCACCTGCAACAAACACTGCATCAAACTGGGCTTTTAGGAAGTTGGCTGATCCATACGTGTTAGTGGAAATGGGTCTTACGTGTCTTAATGCCGATACTCCGTATTTCACTTTTCTGGTGGCATTTATTTGCTTAAATAGGTGCTTTGGATTGCAGATGAATTTGTGCCACGGTTTCTTGATACATTCAGTTATCCTCTCGCTCTGATTTTACGCAGTTTCTCAACAAGATACCCACGTGTCGGTATTAGGACAATTGTTGAACTCTCGCCAGGAGGACTTCCTGTCCTCCTTCAAACATATGACTAAGAGACCACTTATGTATTTTCTTCTTTATCATTACTCAATTATTCCAATATTTAAACGAATCACCTACCTCCGTTTGATATCTTCTTAGTGGTGCGCATTTTAATATTAAAAACCCTCTGATCTCTTCGGATNCGGTCAGGTTTTTCGCACTTACTAGACATCTGGGTCAATTGAAATTTTTGGTACATATCGTTCATTGGTAGAGCACGGTAGAGTACGAATGTGGACAACCCGCCGATGAAATTGGGTTGATCAAAAACCGGAAAGCAGAAACAAACGGCTGAATCAATCAGCCGTGGGAAATGCTCTTGACCTCACTTAGTTGATGGGAAAAGACAGATCTGGCAGGCAAACCACAGAAATCAGTGGGACATTCAATCGGCTTGTGAAAAACCGTAATAAAAATGTAAAATACAGACGATAATTTAAGATCACAAATGATAGTTCAGCTATTTTTGTGGCTGTGTGATGATGTAATGATTTAATGGAAAGATGCATCAGAATAACACCTGGAGATTTCCCAAACGTTATGTAGATATATGTAGATATATATACTAGTGATAACTAAACTACATGGACTGTCAAATGCTCTTTAGACAAAGTCGTATGAATTTCTCCACCATTCGTCATGATACGTAAGACTCAACATGATGTAAACGCATTTTAATATGCGGCTTCCTGTTTGGAGGGATTTATTGATTTCTAATCGCGGTGAAGCGCATCCAACAGCAAAATAATTTCCTGAGAAATGCACAATAAACGCAAAGCGCACCAACTTACGTTCACTTAATTCGTACTTATCTGTTATTCACGTTGAACATGTAGTGACGAGTAATCTCTAATACACCGCATCCATTTTATGTTTAATATTACTTTTGTTGGCGAACGGAAGGTGAAATCTGACATGTCGATCGTTTCTCGGTTGGAGTTCTCTGGATCAGGCCACAAATAGACAAGTGACAATAACGTAAATGACTAAACCCGATTCACTGGCAAAAGCTTGGCATCATTCAATTATATAGTGAATTTCCTCGTAAACGCATCAAATGAAACGTGAACTGATAAACTAGCAAGCCAAATGTGGTTGTTTTAACCTGACTGGAACTCGTTAAGAGGGCGGATCCATCGACCCTGCTGGGGATCGAGCCCAAGACCTCACATGTTGAATGCACGGCTCCTACCCACTCGACCACCGGGGAACTGATCAGACCGTTTTTCATTTTCTTGCTACAAAATATAGCACAGCCCACCTTTCTTAGCTTGGTGTGAACATCGCATCATGCTCATCTCAGAACTATCCTCCGGAATTAACTTCGTTTGAAACATTCCAACCAGACTACTTGTTAAATGAGAGTAGTGGAGGATTTGATTCAATAATATCCTGAATTTCGCCGTGTAAACAACAAATAAAGAGTGATCCGAAAAGCGAGGAAGCACTGGAGAACCGTTTCTACTCGGTTGCGTTCTATCTGTAAAGTTCCTGCTTCCATTACCTATTGGGTCCGTAGATTTCCACTACTGCACTGCTTCTCAATTCAAACTTCGCATGCTTTTTACACGACGAAGTTCACTATATGAAAGCATGAGTCTCATATTACAGCTGTATAAAACGATCTGAATCAAAATGATACGCAAACGGTCTCAGTCACATCGTAGTGCCTCGGAACTGCCATCTTCTTTTAGATCGCAGAGTGTACAGNGGGGGGGTGGGGGCGTTGGAATCCCAAGATTACTTCTTGAGCATACCTACTTCCTTGCATGTTGTACGGTGGCCTTTTTATTGACCGCTTCCTCTTTGCAAAAAATTGTACGACAATTTATATGAAGAAAGGAAGTAAATAAAAGATAACGAATGAGGAAGGGAAAAAATGCGGAAAATTAGCTTAGCTTCTGGAAGTGAACGTTAAAGTTACATGAACGGGATCAAATTAGACTCACCACAACTGGTTGTACCTATTAAGACAATGATTAGAGGATTTATGTGAGATCTCTTCAATGTCGTTTCTTTTCACTTCCAATCCAAAAGCACGAGAGTAAAGCCACCGCTTGCTTAACACATTCGAAGAGAACTAAGCCTCAATTTCGTCCTGGGGGCATTAGTCGTGTGTGTGTGTGTGTGTGTGTGTGTGTGTGTGTGTGTGTGTGTGTGTGTGGTAAATGATTTACTGAAGGCCGAAGACTATCCACAAACATCGAAATTCTATCCTCAAATAAATGGATATAAGATTTGAAGGTGTTGTTTATAAATCGCATTTTCTTTGTATCTTGCTGCACTTGTGACCGATGGCATAGTGCCTGAAGAGCAGAAACAGAGAAGTCCCATGGAAAAATTGTGGTTAACTTTGAATGTGTAACTCGTGAGCTGTGCCCCAGGCTGTATTCACTGAAAAGTGAACGAACAACGTATTCCGTATAAGGAGAAAGCCGAAACGTACGCAAAATTCATGATGCAACTTAGCATTAGGATAAATTATCAACCAGAATAAGTTAATCAGCTGTTCGGGTTTGAATTAATAAATCCCAAGGACATTGGGTCAAAAAAGGCGAACACTGTCTAAAATTTCATTCCATGGAGTAGACAATGAATGGATACATATCGAGTGGGTAGGTGGCATTCATTTAAAAACGCATGCAGGATTTTGAGGACTTTTCGCATCGTCTTGCAGACAGATAGTCACTTAATTAGATCTTCTTCAAAGGCAATCCTGTTAGAAAGTCCCGTTTAGGCGACAATTCTCGGTGAATGTGTTTCCCACTGTACAATTGGTCGAAGATATGGTCAGATTTGAGAACACATACAAGCTCCATTGTGGTCAAATTGCACACTCATTCTGCCCTCATTGTAGAAAAAACATTAACAGGAATTACCCCTGAACAGTGAAGCCGACAGTTCTAATTGAACGAATTCCACGTCTGTCAAGGCTTTCTTTAATCGACAGGATGGTTTGAGGAAGAAATCGGTAGACTTGACATGTAAAATTACAACGCGACTTCAGTGTCATCCGAGCCACATACAAAGGAAAAAACAGTAACAACGAATAAAAGTTTCAACACTAAGCACACCACACGAGCACTGCAAGAATGTGAGTAAAATTAGGTATATGTAACCAAGACCGATCAAACCCTGGTGAATATTTTTTTCAAACATATGTACGTCTAAGTATACTATGATTTGAAGTGGGAATATATGGCGGAAGGATTCCATGTCCCCTTGGATAGAAATGGCATCACGCAGATCATAGCACATCATTTACGGTTGTTCCGACAGGCAAGCGCATTTATTTCGGCTCGCAGTGTTAGGCGAAACGCACGCCTTCCCAATGGTATCAGCCAGGCATCTTTGACCGGCACTAGGTAACGTGACCAGCCCACTTGTAACTGATTGGCTGCTTTGAGATCGATAATTTTGCCTAGCCATTGGCATCCCGCTGGCCTCATTCATTGGTCGATTGTGTTGTCGCGATTGGCCCGACCGACATTATGCCCTGGTGCGCATCCATGCTGGTGTGCGTTCCTACGTTTGCACGTTCGTTCGTCCATGTACCGTACACGCGTGAGAAAAGTTAAACGTTCCTGTGGGCGCGTGCGTACAAGTGAACACCCGTAACACTCGAGCAGAAGAGAAGAGCGGGTTGGTAGAACGAACATCGTAATAATGTGACCTGGCCTGTGTGTGTGCGTGTGTGATGTGCGGTGTGTGACTCCACGCTCCAATCCTAAGTATGACAGGCTGTCGCACTAACGCACGAATGTGCGCTTGCGTATTTCCGCATGCTGAAGGTCCAAGGTTAGGCGCTGGCGTTCAAATTCAGGATCACGAAAGTGAGCCTAAGCGAATGGGGAGCAACTGTTGACTGAAACAAAAAGGATTAGATTTGAGACCGAATGGATTTTGTGATAGTGGAGTAAACCTCACGCACTCTTCTTCAACCATTTTGGGGATAAACTCGTGGCCATGCCATCGGGCCGAGACGGGTCGTTTTCGCACCCGGTTGACGAGGCGGAGCCACCCCTGATCTCCAAACAGAATGGCACTGACCCCCGGGATGTCGAAGCGGGGACCATGGGCAAGCGTAGTGGGAGTATGACCTCCGCGAAACCCAGTGAGGCTGATGACCCAGTGAGTGTTTATTTCCTTGTTATCGTATGTTTCAAATCTAACCAATGGGGGATTTCTTGTTGTTCGTGAACAGATGGCGATGGCCTATGGTAATTTGGGATCTTTCGGTTTGGAACTTAGTCTTCATTCACAACACACCAGACTTGTTCATAACGAAACTCTCACCAATTAAACCACACCATGTCAGAATTTGAAGAGACGAGTTCTGTAAATTCCAGGAATTCGGATTACACGGCATTGCGAATCATTTTAGAATTAAGTGTGTATACTTGAAAACTTTGGGCTATCATACTAGCTGTACCTAGGGCATATCTGTACATCACATAAGACTGTGCTGTTTTTCAGAAAGAACTTCTTTTTATCGAATGTTTAATTCCGTTATATACAGTTCGGCTATCCGTAATACGTTAGTCAAGTTCGGTTATCATGAAAATGTGATCCTCTGAATTTGTTATGTTCATGTATTGTCATATTTTACTTTTTCTTATCTGTTTAATCGATTGTCACCCTCAACTCGGACTGGTTACTAAATGAAATAAATAGTCACAGTTCCCTTCCATCAGAATTTCGCTTCACGGTTTCAGTCTAAATACGGAATAGATTTGAACCAGTACTTTAGGAGAAAACAAATCTCAAAAGGGAGATTCGTCATGTAAGTAGCAAATGAAGTCTGAACTGAAAAGCTAGGAAGCACTGGGCAGCTGTTTCTACCTGGTCGGGTCCCATCAGCAGTGCGAATCGATCGACCCAACGAGGGATCGAACCCAACACCTCGTAGTCAGAACGCAAGCATACTACCCACTCGGCCACTGGGCCCACAAAGTTGAAGAAGGACCATACGGTAATCAAAAGTTCCAGATGGATACGCATGGGTTATGGTTGAAAATACTGAAATTATCTTCACCGGTATTTATCAAGGATCAGGTTGATTTGCACTTTCGACTTTAAAGGTCACCTATATGTGCAGAGATCTGTGAATACGTGAAGTGTAAATTGAATGATAACTCCGCATGTCTTAAAGAATGACGGATAAGGAAGCCATGGTTTGGTCGAAACAGTGTTCTGGCCAGGTAGGATCATACAGTCGTAAACGCGGCCCCAAATGACAAAAACAGGAACAATGAAATCCACACGGAATTAAGGGTGTGTCCGGATCACCGTTTGCACAAACCGTTGTGGACGTAGCTGGCCCAGCCGTTGTCTGTGACCTATCTCTTTCCCGGTTATCATTTTTGCCGAACGAGTAAAAACTGCTGAATGGTATTCGGGGACAGCAATTAAAACTGCCGCACAAAGACGCATGGATGGTTGTAATAAATGGAAACTGAAACCGAAAGTTGAGCACTCTCATTCAATAGGCGAAACCCAGTAAAATTTGATGCTTCGTCGATAGGATCTGGTATTGATTGCAAAATTACCTTACAGGCGTGACTTCTTCGTGTCTTCACTGTCCTGATTAACTCCGGGATCACAAAGTATCACCTGTCTTATACAAATGGATGGCCAAGTACTCTCGAAGAGTACCATGTGTATTTTTAATCAGAAAGAATACGGCAATCATTCAATGATGTATTTCTCCTTAGTGCTCATTTTATTCTTCTCTGGATTGTTAATTACATCCATCTTGATACAGATGTAGGTCATAAAGAAGAAATAGCGAGGTGAAGATATCGGAACCAAATACGTCTTTGACCACCACCATCACCAATATCATCATCACCATGTATTAATAGTATTCATCTCAACTTCGTACCACTTATTTTACACAGAAATTCACATACTTTAGAGTATCAGTTCAAAAGTGCATATTTCTGCAGAACTAAACTATATTGATGATATTATACACCGGTGGGCTAGATTGCAGTTTTTCAAACACGACAGATTGCGCGTCAGTGAAAGGACTTATTTACTTTGTGCTCTTATAAGATTGAAAACCTCAGTATGTCAAAACTTCATTGTCAAGATGACATTTTGATAAACGTAACTTTCATTCATAATAAAGGACATTTGTTTCGTTACTTTATGTTCAGAGGGTGACTTGTTGTTTCGTTCGCGTCTGTTCCTCTCCTCATCTGTCCACCTCGACACTGAACGGGGAACATAGTCCTATCGATCAGCACTAGCTACTCACACTACTTTCCCGTTTCGCGTGATGTTCTCATTTGTCAAGCCATTCAAAGTTGTTGTCTCCTCAGTTCAACGCAGCGGACAACTTGAAGGTCGTTCTTTATTCACGAATAATGATCACTATTTTTCTGTAAAATGGACTTGAGTTGCGATTATCGTGAAAGTTTTAATCAACGGTGCTCTATAAAAGAAGTTCCCTCTTGAAAACAGAACATCTATGGGCCGCTGTTTTTTTATGTACGTACTTTACCCGGTCATGTTTAATCGATATTAAATCCAACCGCAAACGAACATGGAAAATTGAGGGTTCATTTTAAATCACGATAATATATGAATTCCTCAGTTGAATAAAAAAACAGTTTCTGACAGTATTCTCAAAGCGAATGTGAAATAGACCAAAAGTGTATTTGTGATTATCGAGCTCTGGACCACGAAGATCAATATGGGATATTTATTTCCTACAGCTGTTTACTGTGCTTGTGATTAGAGCTTTGTCTTGAAGTTTGTTCCAGCATTTGCAAACAGGAAGTTAACGGTAGAAAGCCTCACCATTTAAATTACGGCCTTTATGAACAGCTGGAGTCCTCTGAAGTCCAACCGCTCGTAAGAGAAAGTTTAGAATTCCATTTGTTTGCCTGCAAGCAGTATTCAATTTTTACATCAAGACCTTGTGCATGAATGTAATTCCATGCAAGCAATAGCAGTATAACCAATATTGATTTTCCTTCGGTCGTTGGTATACATTTCCGTGAAAATTGTCTGGTCATTAGCAGAAATAGATTTCAACCAGGAGCCTACTTTTTCCCTTATCCGGTTGAAAACTAAAAGCGGTGTAGTGCGATTTATTTTAGTGCTATTCACAGTAAAACGGTATTACTTATGATTCAATGTCATTAGCGTTGATTACTCTGTGGTCTAGTAAGTTAAGTCACTATCGTTGGTGCCCACTAGACTCAAAGGTTCGAGCCCTGTCACTACTATCCGTTTATACGCAGGTTCCATAGTTTCCGGTTCACTACCACACCGTCGTGTGTTTGGGACTGTACCGGCGGAAAATTCGTTATCACATGGAATTCGGATAAACAGGCCTCGCTAGTTGAAACGGATATTGCACATAACCGACCTTGGTCTTCTGTAACTCGTTTTGTTCGTCGTTTATGCCCTAGGTTAGTGGTAATTTCTTAGAGATCAAAAAATGATGTAGATATGAGGCATGAAGAAATGCACATAGCTACTAGGCAGACCAAGTGTTCCTCACCCTCCAGGATGGGGTCCAGAAGACTCCGTGACTCGTTGATTTGACGCAGTATGAATTTATGGCAACGAGCCGACTGCAATATCACTCTTGTCCTCACTTTTCAGACTAGAATACTTGAAAATTTGTTTACACAAAATTGGATAGTCTACTCTTTTTGTTCACCAAAGAGGTTCAATTTCTTAACCCTCCTTAAAACAGGCCGGATTCCAGTCCACCTAACAAGTTCTCAACTATTTGGTATACTTATGTGAGCTTGGTAGCAATCAGTGAGGTTCACTTCATTGGGTTTCGCAGTACGATGTTCATTGGCATGATAACTATCGAATCTACCTTACCGGAGCCTCATTCTGTGGGTCACTAAAATTCTCAGAGGTTAGGACATCGGGTACAATAAGAACAAAAGTAGAGCCAAACTCAACTTCGAGTTACAATCGTCCTCATCTTGCACTCAAATTCTGAAAACTTATGCGATCTGATGCACTAACTAGAGTGGACCAATATCAATTATCTCCTCAACCAGGAATCTGCACAATTTAATTACAGATTTATTTCGCCAATCTGCAGGTAGAAAACACCGCCAATATATCGGATAACATTTCATAAGTTTTTGATAAGAAAACCTTGTCGTTGATAGTTGAATCACATTTAGTTGGTGCCAGTAGAATGTGTCTGTAGGATGTGTTCTTCTTTCTCTGTCTGACTTGAGGTCATATTGCAGTGTTTACTTCTTCCTGTCCGTCACACTGTGTGCTCATTTGCATCTTTCTGTCTCAATCCGTTCATCGNGTCTCAATCCGTTCATCGCGAGTGTCTTTTTGATGCTCGTGTCCGGAACAACGGGAAGTAAATACATCTCAAAGTCTCAGTTCATATACATGCACACTTCGTATATCACTGAGAATTACGTACCATGTATTCCAAAACTTGTGTATCGACTCAGGAAAGATGACTACCATTAGAGTGCAAGTCTCTTCTAAAACAGTTGCTCCCTTTATCCATTCTCTGAGACAAAATAAATTACGTCTCGAATACATTTTATTTCGGATAGTTTATATTGGTGCATGCGCAGTGTAGTTTGCCGGTTATCTTGCAAGAATCACCAAGTGCTGCTATCTCCCTTGATCAACTTTGGTGTTCTCATTATTCCCAGTTTGTTCAGTGGCTTAAATATAGGATTAAAGTGGGAAAATTTATGAGTATTGTTATGAGCGTATATATGTGCATACAGAAGGGTACAGCTAACGTGCGTTTCCAGTGTGGAGTTATTTTGATCCATCTCAATGGATCAATGAGTCCCGTGGTGGTGTTCTCCCACTTAGTTGAAAGGACGAGAAGCCAACATTCGGGGATATAGCCGGGTCGGTGAACCATTGTCAGTTTACTCAGGGGAGATGGCTACAACCCATAATCCCAAACCAACTGAGAGGAGGCGTATGAACCTTGGAGGCTCTGTCAGTGATCACCGGCTAGATTCGGTATCAAGGCGTATTGGGCATTGGGCCCCGTCCAAAAAGCGTACTATCCGCTGAACTGGACACCGGCCCCCAATGGATCGCGGCCTTCACACACCACCCTGCTGCCTTGCGGATCGGGCTTTGGCTAGCCAAAGACTGCG